GATGGGCAGAGGCAGCTTAAAGTGGGTTTTCAGCCCCAAGGCATTGTCAACTTCTTCTGCCGACTGCAGGCTGTGCCACTGAGCGATGGGCCGGCGGGGATTAGCCAGCATGTCTGACCAGTGGCGCAGATGGTTGCCTGTGGCTCTGCAACCCAGGAACACCTTACCGATCTGTTCATTCTTGGTCACCTTGTCATAATCCCACACTGCAATCACCAAGTCTACGTTCTGTAGGGAGGGCACAAATGGAACTGCACATGGCCACTGAGGAAGCAAATCATGGATGTGGGGGGAGGAAGGGCAGGATGAAGAAACTAGATATATTTAGTTTGGAGGAAGTTAGGAGAAGAAACAATAGTAGTTAGTTTTGAAAGGTTTTCATAAAGAAGAGGGAGAAAAAAAATACGAAATGAGGAGACATACGTTAAAGCTCAGGAAAAACTTCCTAACTGTAATACCAGTAGGACAATGGAGCACGCTGCCTAGGAAAACTGTGGAATCATTTTCACTAGAAGTTGCCAAGGAGAGGCTGAATAGACTTCTGTCTAGGATAATTTAAAAAAACCCACCATAAATCTTACATCTGTGCTAGGGGATAGACTAAATGACCCTTGAAGTTCGTTCCAACCCTACAAGTTTGTGATTTAGATCAGGCTTTATACACAGCCACAGACCAATAGCCAACTGAGGTCATGTGATACAGATTTAAATATTGATAATTCTAGAGATACTGATGTACAAAAAATGAGATAATACCCCCAAAAGAAGGAAAAGCCCCTCACAGTGTGCATGACAAAACACATGCTTAATTACAAGCCTTCAAACATCTGGGCCCTAACATTTTCCAAGCCAGACCTCTGCATTCCTAAAAGTGCAGCTCTGCTATTCTGAAGTGGAAAGCCATTTTCACTTTGATAAAACTTTCAGTTCTTTTATGAGCAGAAGACCGAATGTTTCTTGTTATGCTCTATAAAGTTCCTTGTAAAAGAAACAGTAAAACTTTATTGTAAGCACTCAGTACCAAATTATGATCTGCTTTACTAAATGAATACAGATGCACAGGGACACTCAAAATATGGTGATATAAGGGATTCTTCAAATGCAGTCTGTACCGGGCATTATAAGTTAGTTCATATGCTTGAAGGGATTTCCCTTGACACACATGGAGCTGCTTTAAGCAGAACTTAAAGATTGGCTGTGCTTTCCTTCTTGCTTGGTGAGGGTGTAATCCAGAGCCCACTTTGATCAAGTCTCATTCAAATACAGACGAGCCATACTGGATACTACTATTTCTAGGAATAAATGTTACCTGTAAGCTTGTATTATCTTTTTGACTACCTACATTCAAACACATTTTAAATACCAAGTATCAGAGTCCATTTTTAACCTATTATGAGAAGGACATTGCACAATATCTGACTAGTGCAGTGAAGAAAAAGGCTATGAGACATAGGTGATAGTCACAGTCAATTTATCTAAGGCCCCCTATACATGGAACAGGTATTTAACAACTAACTGGTTAATTGGGCAATTACCCAGAAAGCAGTTACACATGCAGAGTAGCTGTCACACAATAAAAGGTTCCAACCAACTATAAAGTTAGACCTTGAAAACATGTACTAACTTTATACAGTAAAATCCCTGATATCCGGCATGAGTGGGAATGTGGGGTGCTGGTAATGTAAAAATGTCGGTTACCTGAAGGCACAGGGTTTCCGCCCGGATGCAGACTGGGGGGGGGGGCAGCGGTGGCCACATGTGGACTGCAGGGTAGAAGGGTGGTGGCGGCTGCACACGGAGCGGCAGCACCACAGCATGATGGGTGGTGGCAGTAGCAGCCTTGTGCGAGCTTTCCCCCACATCTCTCAGCCAGCCAGAAATTCCAGCTACTACAGTGTGCTGGTTAGTAAAATCCTGGATAACAGGGATTTTACTGTAGCTGGTTGCTATCCAGCTTTAATTTGCATGTGTAACAGGGTCTCCCCTGCTGCTGGGAGCCCCATCAACTGATGGGACTCCCAGCCACAGGGGTACACCATGCCCTGTGAAACCCTCCGAGACTCTCGGGATTGTGGCTGCCATGATCCCTAGGGCTCTAGTGCAGGGAAACACCCAGAGCTGTAGCGCTACCACAGGGTGATCCCCCCCACCCTAGGGCTGGAGGATGACTGCAGTCTCTGTGCCCTGGGGTGGGGGGAATCACCCCTGTGGTTATTGTGTGGGCCTAGGAGTTTCCTGCATCCCCAGGGCACAGAGACTTCCCCTGCAGTGATCCTACAGGTATTTCCCTGTACCCTTGGGGTAAGGAGATCACCGCAGCAGGAATCCTCCAATCCCCACAGCTGGGAGCTACTCAACTCGGGTGCATGGGGCTCCCAGCCATAGGAGCCTGCTTCTTGCTGGTTAAAAGGAAGCCTGGAATTGGGCTCCCCCTGTACTGGCAATAAGATGCAATGGGATCTAATATGTAATTCCACAATTTTGTCTCCTGCCTTGCTCATGTGGCATGGCAGGTGGTGCAATTAGGTGAATCACACATTAGGTCCCATCACACCTTCACTTGCAAGTGTAGATGGGGCCTCACAGTACATATGTTATTCTTGATTAAAACTGATTGACTTCATAGAGCCATTACTGACACACAATATAAATATAAAGTGCCTGATGAAGATTGCAGAAAGTTGTATTTCGCCTTACCTTGGGCTATAGGGAATGGTATGTGGCTTCACTTGGTTGAAGGTATATATCAGTTTCTGAGCAGCCCTTTGCTGTTGTATTTCCTTAAAAAGAGAAAGTGCCCACTTATGAGCATCACTTTTATAAGATATCACGAATAAAGGGAGAACTCTACTGATATTGCTTACTACTCATAAAAAGGAGATGGATTTATTTTTTCATCCCTCTCTCTTCAGCAGAGATCAGAGTAGGACCCAGAGAGTGTTGATTGACAGAACTGAGTCATCATGGCAGGAGGTGACCAGTGGCATCCCTCAGGGCTCAGTACTTAGACTAGTGCTTTTCAACATGTTCATCAATTATTTGGATTTGAATATTAAAACTGAACTGGCAAATTTCACTGACAACACCAAACTATGGGGGGGCGTGGTAACACTCGAAGACAGGCTGGAAGTTCAGGCCGACCTGGACAGGCTTGAAAGGTGGCCGGATGTCATTTAATATGGAGAAATGTAAAGTGCTACACCTGAGCAGAAATAATCCACAACACACTTACAGGCTTGGCAGTGCCAACACCACAACTGAATGAGACCTAGGTGTCATGATAGACAACAAAATGAACATGAGCCACCAACGTGATGCCATAGTGCTACGGCAGAGCTAATCAAACACTGGCATGCATCTACTGAGGCATCTTGAGCTTGGCTAAGGATGTCATCCTCCTGCTCTACTCGGCCTTGGTGAGACCACAGCTGGAGTACTATGTCCAGTTCTGGGCACTGCACTTCAGAAAGGATGTGGAGAATCTTGAGAGAGTTCAGAAAGGTCCATGCACATGATTAGAGATCAGGTCATACAGGGAGAGGCGGAAAGACTTGGGACTGTTCAACCTGGAGAAGAGAAGACTCAGAGGGGATGTGGTGGAAGCCTATAAGTATATCAGGGGAGTACATCAGGGCCTGGGGGAGCATCTATTCACCAATCTCCCCAGGGGAGGACAAGAAATAATGGGCATAAACTGACTGAAGAACCCAGCAATCTTTCCTGCCTGCACCCGATGATCTGTAAGATCTCTTCCAGCCCCTAACATCTATGAAACTATGACACTGACATTTCACAGCAGATCACTCCAGAGAGCCTTACAGGTAGCAATACATTTCATACACGGCAAACAGGGTTGGACCATTTCCCTCCAGGTATATACTCACTCTGAGGCAAAGGTGTAGCACTGTACCATCATGAAATATCTTTTCCCATGTTTGAACCACATCAGGAAGAAAAGACTTCACAATGAAGATTTGGCCCAATTTCAACACATCCTTCTCAGACCAGGTACAAATGACTTTCATGGCTCTGCGGAGGCCACCATCCATCTCTTCATGAGATAAGACCTGGATCATTGCAGCCATCCCATGCTGTGACCAGGAAGACATGCTTTTATCTAGGTTCAAAGGTGAACTTTCTTCTAGTCTGTAGATTGTCACCTCCTCTCCAGCTGCGGTAAAAGGAAGTTTCATTTATAAATAAATATCACAAATCTAACACTATTAGATACTTACATTGTCTTACCCTATATATACAGCTTGCGACTACAGAATTTCACAAGAATACCAGCTATGCTACTCAAAGAGAAACAAGATGCCTGAAATATCTCCTGTTTCTTCTGTTGTTTCTTCCAGCTGAACTTCTGGCACATGCAGCAGGCCATGCACCACTTAAGGGTCACTGCAGCTCGATTTTGGGGACATCAGCGGGATGACTAGAAAATGGTATTTAGAGGTTTGCTTTTGGGAATTGATTTGTAAGTAAGTATATGTGCATTAGAACAACAGTTCAGGGCAACAGCAAGAGTTAATTGATTTCTACAGGCCTGATTCTCTCACAGTTTCACACAGCCTTCAAGGCTGACAGGGTGTCTAACTTAGACAAGCAACAAAACCAATGGATATACACATAGTCTGGGAAATTGTAGGCATGTACCACACTGTTCTATACAGGGCTGTCCCTAAGTGGAGGGCGAATTGGGCTGACCACCCCAGGCCCCACGCTTTGGGGGGCCCCACAGAGCCAGGAGGAACGGCCATGGAGACCCTGTGCTGCTGCTGGCTTCACGGCTGCTTGGCACCCTCCTCTCCCCCCTCTGCCGCCAAATCCAGCACATCTGGCTTCTCAGCACCCCTCCACTCCACTGCCGAATCCACCACTGGCTTCCTTGCATCTGGGGGCGGGGCCCCACACAGGCTGATTTGCCCTGGGCCCCACACCCTGCTCAGGTCATCTCTCGTTCTATAACATGAGATAAGGTGGCACCAGCTCACAAGGCCCACAAGTGGGGGGCTGAGCTTTCTGGTTTTGGGGGAACAGACCAAATTGGGAGAAGGCCCAGAAAGCCCAGATTAGGATGTGTGTATGTGATGGGCTTGTGAAACAAAAGAATATGCTGATAGAACAGAATGTGGACAGTATGATGACCAGAGAGACCAATCAGTGATAGCCATGGATGAAGAGTCATCAAGAGGGAAAAAGAATACAAAAGCAGAGACTTTAGAGCAACAAAGTGTCCCCGTCCCAGTCCTGGAGAAAGGTCCCCGAGAGGGGAACCCAAGGCACTATGGACAGAGGGTACCAGCCTGTCTCATCCAACCCACTGGGGGGGTGGAGAGGAGGGCATGGGTCTCAGCCCCCAACCTCCAGGCTGCTGACATCTGACATTCAAGAGAGAACCTTTTCTTTTTCTTATTATTCTTTTCTGTTATCACCATGTATCAGTAAATTTGCCTATTATCAAATGGAAAAGTCATGGTTGGTCTGAGTGTTTTGGGTACCCCTGGAACAAGGCATCTGGGTCCTAAATCCAGTGCCAGCACAGTGGGGCACTGAGACGAATTCTTCTGCACAAAAAAACTTCATTGATTTAAAGAAGATCTTGTCAAATAAAACTGTGGTCATGTTCTTTTTATGGCTTTTTCCCGGTGTCAGCAGTTTTTCTGGCTTGTAGGGATGTTTGCCATCTAAATCTTTTTTCTTTTTTTTTTAAATACTAGCATCTGATCAATAATTGACTAAAAACAAATATGCTGAACCTCTTTCCTACTTTTTTCCTCAATTATTATGGAAAAAGAGTGTTAATCAAGATTTATTTTTATCCTACAGAAAACAAATAATTAAGATTCTTGGCATTCATATATTTTTCCCTTCTTTCAGTCTTGCTAACCAGAAAAGAGTAAACTGGGCATAACAACTATAAAAGCAAAGGGCTGAAATTTTCAATTCTTATTCAGATTGAGTAGCACCTGCAGGTATGGAAAATATACCTTTTAACTGCTTTAAAAGGAGTGGGGAGATGCCACTTGGAAGCTGTTATGATCTAACTGTGATGCCTGAATGATCCTATAGCAGTCTCCATTCACTAATCATACTCAGTTTGACCCCAAATAAAACAGTGAAAAAATCTGAGCATTTTGGCTACTTTTATCATCATGGTAACATGCAGGTTTCATGTAAAACATGATACCTTTGATAATAATACAGTTGTTGCATCTGTTTATACCCTTAGTCCATGATAAATCTCATTGATTACGGCTGGCCTACCTGGGAAGTAAAACACTACTAAGCATGGATAAGGGAAAGTAAATCACTGTAATACACTGGAACCAGTGAGCTGTCTGAATCCAAAAGGATATGTTCTTTCCTTTAATCTGTACAGTTCTGTTTTAGTATAAATTAAAGGTGATGGGAACAATCTAAAACAAATAACCATGGAGATGTAAGCTTATTCTAAATTAAGAACTGGGCCTTCTTTATAAGAATTTCTATGTCATCTCTCTTTTCACAAACTTTCAGCAAGTCTACCCCAGTCAACAGCACTATTCTTGCAAACAAAGTTTCTCTGGAATTTCAAATCAATTATATATACTGTCTTCCTATGGCACTGTAATTATATTCTGCCCTTTACCTATTCATTGTTTTCTTCTGTGAAAACACAGATTTTGAAAGCCTGTTTTTCCTTTTTTGTGACGGAAATTATTTGCACAGGCAACTGATAAAACATAGATGCATAAACACCTAACAAGTGGCCACAGAAAGATACTTAAACATCTAACAATGCCACTTACATGCACAAATAACTGAGAACACCCAAAAAGAGACCAGGCTAGAATACAATGAAAACAGTGGATTTTAACTCCAGAACACCCTGGACAAAGGAGTTTAGTTTCATTAAGTGACACAGAAGCAGCTGCTGGTAAGGCATAACCATTAGCCATGTGTTAATTTAAACAAAGCAATGAAAGACTGATAGAAGAATAAAACACTTCATAGTAATATAACATTTTGGAAATCTCAACCTTTTATCATTTTGTCATTCGGCTTTCCTTTGACAATTTAAGAAAGGTATCTAAATATTCTGAAGACCAGAATGTTCAGTATGCTCATAGTTCCATTAATTACCTGCAGGAACCAGCTTTCTAGTCATCTGGTTGTGTTGGAAACACTAGCAATTAGCAATTGTGAAACCTACTTCTGAGAAAAGGACATACAACTCAAGTGTCTGGTGTCAGATTTTCTGTTGATGCAAACTTCTGTGGATCCATGATGTCTAATCCCTTCCATTAGATTAACTCTATGGAATTCTATGGTGCAGTACCCTTTTTTTTCTGGTAGACTTGATATATGTAGTTCCAGGTGTAGGAATAGTCTATAGTATACTTCCAGGTAATTTCTGTTGGCTTTTTATAACAAGATCTCTTAATTTTTTAATTAAAGGAGTTATTCCTTTCACAGAACAAGTGTATTTTATACATATTTAAATGAATTCATCCTATGACATTTCTTAACTGCTTTCTTTTAAAAAATGCTGTTAATAACCATCACCACCACCCAAAAAAAGAAGCTGGCCCTTACCAAAGAGCTGAATTGGTGTAAATGGTATGGTCTGAGCAAGCCTCATCAGATTGTTCCTCTCAACAGCTGAAAACAAGAGAGAGTTCTGCTGTATCAAACTCCATTTATATCCGTGACATCTGCTTCAAAAAATCAATTGGCAATGCTTCACTGCAATATTATAAAATGACTTGAAGAGGCAATTGATAGACTATAGACAACTGATAGACACAAACACCTGATACGTAGCCACAGAATAGTACTTAAACATCTAATACCTTGATGCCATAACATCTAAGTGCCAGTGCTGCCCCCATGCTGTAACCTCTAAATTCCAACTAAGCATTTAAGGATTAACCTTCACAGAATCCAGGCAGGTAGAAAGTACTATTACCTAGGCCCCTGGCACACATTCTCTTAATGGCATGATGGGATCAGTTCCCACATACATGCATGGCAGGATGCATGATGTTGGGATCAGGAATCAGATCCAAGTTCCAAATAAGCCATAAAATTATTCCACTAAAAAAGTATAGTAATTTTCCATTATGCCTTAAAATTGAGTGTGTGCCAGGGTCCCCACCAAGCAACCTGATGTTGGCCTCATTGTGAGGCCCGAGTCTGGACACAATATGGCCCTAGAGACAACACCAAAGTCTCAAACTGGCTCTGGTGCAGTCTTAGAGCTGAGACCAACAAACAGCTGATTGTCAGCTCCAGTCCTGGGACCCCATTAGAGTCTCAAACCAGCTCCTTGCACTCCTGGGACTGAGACTGACAATCAGGTGGATCTCTCAGCTCAGACCACACTAGAACCAGTTGAAGACTGTGGTGTGGTTCTGGGGCAGAGACTGACAATCGACTGTCGGTCTCAGCCCTGGAACTGCAAAGAGCTGGTTCAAAATTTCAGTGGGGTCCCAAGGCTGGAGCCAACAATTAGTTGACTATTGGTCTTCGCCCCAGGACCATACCAGAGCCAGTTCAAGACTCCAGTGTGGTCCCGGAGCTGTACTGGAGCTGGTCCCTGGGCCTACCATAAGGCCAGCCTCAGGCTGTTTAGCAGGGACCCTGCCACACATTCAATTTAAGGCATGATGGAAATCAGCCTCAAAATTACTATACATATTTAGTGGAATAATGTTGTGGCTCATTTCCTTTATCAAACCATTAATTGCCTAAACATGTAGGTGGATTGCTACTTAAGACATGATTCAGTGGTTAATCACATCTAAATGTAACATCCACCACAGGCCCTGAAGTTCACATATTAAGGGAATAAGGCACAGAGCAATGAAAGTGATTTAAGTACTACAATACCGAGTACTGCAACCACACACTTGTAGATGCCTGGCACCCTAAGTGCAATTCAAAACCCTGTAAGGTCCCTTGTCTCCCTATACTGTCCATGAGGAGAGTTAGGTGCCTGAGATGCTTTGTTCTACGAGGTGGGCAATAAAGCTTAAAATTTGCTCAGGCAGAAACAGGAGCTCAACTCAGGTCTCCACCTGCTGGGTGAAAGCTCTATAACAAGACTATTCTACATCTTGGGGTTGACCCCATTACCACCGCCTGAGCTGGGTTTTGAATGAAAACTGCTACCACTTCATTGTGTGTGTGGCCTAGTTTGCTAGGCATGCACATATCCAAATCAAAACCCCCTGTAGAGAGGGGCAAAGGAATGCCTGGTTTCTGGATCACAGTAAGACTTATACCTGAGCTAGGAGTTTAACCGCCCTGCCTCCTCAAGACTGAGGTGCTTGTAGGCAAGCACAGGGGAAGAACATCTAGACAGCTTTAATGTCAAAAAGCAATTTTAACATTAGTGAATGGGGGATTTCAGGACAGTAGTTGTGGATTGAGGAGGCTAAATTTCACCTGAGTCCTACTTTAAGTACCAGAGTTTTTTGGGAATAGCTACAAAATGCATCAAACATCATATAGGAAGTTGTGGTAACAAATACCACCCTAACCACAAGGCCATCCTTGAATTAAGCCTGAAAAAAGTAGAAATCAGAATCCCCTAAAAGCATATACTTTTGTCATACAATCCTACAGCGTGGTGAAAATACAAGCTGATTAAACAACATACGTAAATAGATACTGGGCAAATTAAAAAGTGACATAATATCATTAAACTCAATGGAGTTGTACCTGTCCATTAAACAAAAAAAAAAAAAAATCAGATACTCTTCAGTGTGAATACGGAATACTTTCAGCATTACAACCAAACAACACATGTTTATCTGAGGTTTCCTACAAAAAAATCTAAAGTAGTGTGGACAACAGGGGCATCTACTGGCAAGTTCTGGACAAGTCTCCAACTAATCCAGATATATACCTTTGTAGAAATCTATGTGCATGTTTAATTTAGGAACAAAGCAGTACTGTGGGAAATCAGTGTCCCATGATTTATTGACACCACAAGTTCAGAAGCATATAAAACTTAGAGTTAGTCCAGGTCAAGTAAACTGAAGACATCTACACCTGCAGTCAGGAAGAAGGGGGCAAGTACAATAAATGCTGTACTTCCAGACTAGGAAGTGACAGCTTTTAACAAACCAGTGCAGCTGTCTTCTGCCAGGAATTACAGTTCAGTTCTACACATTTTCTTTGATTCTGAAACTGAGCTGCTGAATTCTGATATCTACCTTTTTTCCCTTATAATTTGTCAACAAATACCGGAAAGGAAATGTCTAGTACAGAGATGAGGATAATTTCTCATTTTTTCATTGTAGTATTAGGCACAAATTAATATACCACATGGGCAATAGTTTGACTCTTCAAAGTGGTAGCCACAGAAGATGACAGGGAAAGAATTAATGTGGTTGCTAATGGCAAAATTACTCAACTCTCATCCAGGGGCCTTCTGCTTACCTGAATAATGATAATGCAGATCCTGTGATGTTTTGAAGCAGGCTAAGATTTCTGTAACAATTTTAAAGGATCATTATGTTAATTATTGTAGCAGAGATAAATGTATGATTCTGAATCCCTTCCCTTCCAGTTTGTCATGAAACAGATTAATCAGAATTACTGTCTCAGCACTCCAAAGAGGGTACTTACTAATAGACTTTAACTATGTTATAATGTACGGTATGTTGGCAGTTCTCAGTCATCAATGTAATATAGCCACACAATTTATTTATATAGGAAAATGGAGGGAGACTAGCAATATTAACCTCAAGGACATGTAGTTTCTCAGAGCCAATTACACCTCTGGGATGTTAAAAGCACTTTGCTGTCCATCATGCTTCACAGCATCCCAAAGGCATGATTTTTCTAACTCCATCCTGAGTCATTAAGCATTCCATTAACTATACTATTATACCAAAGTTATAATAATACTGGTCCATTAACCCATGACATCTAAAATGTTGTAAAAATATAAACAGGCATATAACTAGTTGGGCTAGATAAATATAAAGAGACACCGCTAGGTCAGATTTGATCTAAAAGCTTTGTTGTATGAGAAGAAGCTTTTGTAATATCTAAATTAAAAGAAATGTGTTTGTTAGTTCTTTTGTTTGATGAAAATGATTGGTTAGATTGGGAATGGGAACTTTGAAATCACATTTCTCTTAAAACATTATACTATTTATGTAAGAAATAGGATGATTATAACTGAAGGAATGCCCACACCCAACTTAGCCTATAGCCTGGTGGTTAGAGGACTCTTCGTAGATTTGAATCAGAGAAAGCATTTAAACCTCAGTCTCTTACATCCTGGACAAGTGGTCTAACCACTCATCTATTGTATTAAGAGTGGCTGCAAATTGAAAAGTGGTGGTGGCCATTGCTGCATTCTTTTTGTGGAGCCATGCAGTAGGTATGCCCTGAAAACTCTCTCCAGATCAAACCCTGTAAAGGAGAGACAGAAAACCTGGGTATGTGCACATGTTCACTGTACCTAATCTATGATATAAGCCTCTGTCTGGGGATGGGAGGTGTGAGGGAGCTAAAAATAGGGGGTCGGGCTGAGGTGGGGAGGACAAGTGGAGCCCTGGGGCCAGGATGAGTAGCTGGGCTTTCCTAGCCCCAGGAGTGCTCCAAACATGTACAGACATTCAGTAGATCAAACTAACCCATTCCCAATCTAACTTAGTTAATCTCCTCAGTCCCTTTTTGTCCTATTTAGCCTCCCCAAATGTCTCTACAGATAGGCACTTATATTGACCTACCCCAGTTAGGTTGATCTATGTGTAATGCCTGCATGTATGCCTAGTTTCTGAATCCCTAGGTAAGCATCAAGGTGTTAAAGTCCCAGGTCCCAAGGTAAGTATCAAGCTGTTAAAACCTGTCTTGAGTGAAATGCTTCTAAAACAACATTAATGTTGAAAATGTAGGCACCTACAGGTTTCAGGGCCAAACCTTATTTCTAAGTGTGAACCTATTCTACTCTGAGTCCCTGAAAAACTGTCATTAGTCAATTTTTTAAATGTGCCTTTATCCTAGCCTTAAAACCAAGTGACAAAAAATAGTGAGGAAGTGGAGGACACACCCAGATGTTTTTATGTTAATACTTTTTCCAGGGCTCAAGCAGGGTGGAATATACTTAAAATGCCATAAGGGGACACAGAATTTGGACGTAATATGTCCTCTCAACATTATGCAGCAGCTAAGAAGGGGTTGTGAGATCACGAATTTGGACTTAAGTGTGCAAGGCCTTTCATAGACTTAACTCAGTAACCTTCCCCAGGCTCTACAAAATGATGTTTACTGGTAACAGCCATGGCACAGATAAGGCATCTGGCACATATTACACTTAAGACTTGATTAACAAGTTAATCACATCTTAAGTGATTACCTGGCTACATGTTAAATCAATTAATGGCATGATAAAACAAGGAATAATTCACAAAGTTATTACACAAAAAATGTGTAATAACTTTGTGGCTGGCTCCCATTACGCCATTAACTGAACACGAGACCAGGATGGGCCTCCCAGCCACAGGGCGTGCTTGGAAACCTGGATCAGCTGAAGACTCCCAGCTGTGGGAGCCTGATACTTGCCAGTGGAGGGAGAACCTGGGGTCATGATGTCAGGCTCCCTCCTTACCAGCAGTAAGCTCTGATGGGATCTGATGCTTGATCCGACAATCACACCTCCTACCATGCATGTACTGCATAGCAGGAAGCATGATCGTGGGGATCATTCATCAGCTCCAGTGGCACCTATACTTGCACTTCTCCCAGGGACCTGAACGTTGAGGCAACAGGGCAGGATCATGCACAAGAGACAGGCAGAGAGAAAATATTTGGGGTTGTAAATGACCCCACCTGAAACACTCTTTTAAAAACAGACAGTGAACACCAAGTGCCTGCCAAATAATTTTAAGGATGTTTTTTAAATCTGCTTTTAGGGAAGCTTCCATTTTTTCAAATGAATCAGCCACTAAAAAATTCAACTTGCAACTGCAATATCTACAACTGGAAGACTGCAGGAAAAACTGAATATAAATTTAACTAGGAAAGAGGGTAAATAAGTGTGAAGCTGACTAGCACTGTTTTCATGGAACACTAGTATTATTCTTCAGATGCTCAAGTACATATCAAAGTTGCTGAGAACATATATCCTCTCTTGGACACTGGACACAAAGGGCACCCAAGTCCTCAAAGACTTTTCAACTTCTGTGACAGCCTCACATGAACAAAAATCACCCACAGAATTCCACCCAATTTAGCCTCCGAGACATATTTCTGATGTTGAAAAACTCCAAGTATGATCAGAAATTAAATGACAAGTCTCCATCCCCAACTATAGCTGAAGTTTCCCACTAAACACAAAGTCCCTTTGATTTCCAGGGATAGAATTCCATCTCTTCCTTTATAAATGTATCACCATTTATTCAGCATTTATTCCTGCTGAAAAGGTGTGGGCTTTGTAATGTTGGTCAGAGCAAAAAAGCTTGAATATTCTCTGTAGGACATTATAATTAGCATATGTAGAAAATACCTTACTACACAATATGTAGTTACTATTCTTCATGTTGGCTGTTAATTATTCTTAATCCTCATCCTCATCTATCCCTATGATGGATTAGTTTCTCCACCTACTTTTGTACTTCAGCATAGTGAAAACAGGATTTACAAATAAAAATTGAAAAATAAATAGTAAATCAATCAAAAACTTACTGTCCATTCCATCTGAACTTCTCAACCTGTTTAAAAAATTAGCAATTGAGATTTTGCTCAAAAAAATCACGTCAGTTTTTCTTGTGATTAAACAAGCAATGATATGAAGAGATTTAAACCATGTTATTGCTAAACTCAAAAAGATTTCATCTCAGTGTTTAAACCACAGTAATCATTAGCAGAAAGCATTTGTTGCAGTGACATAAAATTAAATCCCTGGCTACAAAGTGACAAATCCTTTCCTCTGTCCTTCCCCCTCTGTTGCTTCTATTGTCCTGTGTTTATAATTCTGCGCTATTGTCGGTCTTGTTTACAAAGTAATAAAAATGTTGTTTAAAGAGCACTTCAAATCAATAAGATATAGCATTTGTTTTAACTTTTTAGCTGGTTGTGGCACACTAGTTTTAATTTATGCCACTGTCCTCTACTGGGTGGAACGACTCTCTCAGTTTTTGGTTGTAGCTTTGCATTGTATTAGCTAGAAAAAGCAGTTAGCTATTACAAGACTATAGTGTAAACTCAGGTGTTACTTATTGTGTTCTTTTCCCCAAATGACAGAATTCTACACAAGTTAACGTGACTCTTCTCTCACACCAGCATAAGTCAAGAATAGCTCCACTAGAGACAGGTCTAATGTTAAATGGGGGTAAATGACAGCAGAGTTAGCTCATGTATGCTCTGTTCCCAAATCAGCCTTTGTTCAGTTTGGCTACCATCTAAAATAAGTACCCATGAGTCATTAAAAGAGCATGACAAAATCATGTGAGATGTGACATTGCCTTATGCCTATTCTATGAAACATGTTGCTAAGACTGATGAATGCGAGAAAGAGAAGAGACAAGAGGAGGAGGAAAAAGAGGAGAGCAAAATCTATACCAGAAAGTACCACAAACGTTAAGATAATTATCAAACAAGCATGAAAAAAAATCAAGACATTTGAAGAAGTAAACAAAAAAGTGAGAAGACTTTTCCAACCAGCATAATTTTATTTTATATAATCAGAGCTTAGCTGCTACTGAAAGCTCTTTATAAAAAAGCTAAAATATTTTGCAAATGCAGACCGACTTACTGCAAAGAGTTGAAGCAAATGATTTTAAACAGATAGTGAATGCCTTGCAGTAGCAGCTAATATTTTTATTACTTAAAAGAGAAATCAACAATGTGTGCAACAAAATCAAATGCTGCTTTTCATTCTCAGTAGACAATGATGTCAGCTAGTTACGATGCAGTGGCAAATGAATGACTGAATAAGAAACCTGGATAATGTTGGCATAAAAACATTAAAACATCTATGTTCCTTCTAAAAATATGAAGTTGCATTTTGAACTAATACCTTTTATAATAATTAATAAGCCTTTTTCTACTGAAAATAAAACACGGTGAACTGCCACAATCCTTTATTTTACATGCGCCCACATTTTTCATCCTAAAATGTATTCCAGAACTGAAATGAAGCCTACAGAATCTATAGAACAGGGCACAATAAAGTCTTGTTTTGAAGAAATGTAGCAAGTATCTTAATATAGTTAGGATACATACGAGGAGTTCCTGCTTGATTTATTCATTCTGGTGCCAATCATGCTACCATTCAAATCCTGAGAAGAGAAATGCTTTTATTAATAAAATTGGTATATCACTGTCCTATGAATATTGAACAGAGCAGCTCAAGCGCCCTAAGTCTGCAAACACTTCCTTGTGTGCTACCTTGATTATTATTAATAATACCATTGACATCGAAGTGCAGCATGGGTCTATTACGTCTTCACACACAGCCTGATTTGGAATATGAATTTGTTCTAGTTGCAGATTTCCAGAGTCTGTAAGCATTTGAGTAGATTATTTGAGTATATCAGTTATATCAAATTGCACAAAATACACCTGGAAGGTATTTCAGTACAAGATGATGGAAACTCCAGCGAGTCAAAAACATGTGACATCAAATATTTCATAATGTCACAGTTCCTAAAAGTAAGCTATATTGTACAAAGGCAAATACAATGCATATATAACAGCATATTTCAAGAAACTTTAGAGTTTGACATCAAGATATTTAAATTCTTTCAGTGGGAAAGGTCCCTCATCCTCAATAGCTGCATAACCTTCCTGCTACACCAGTGCTCTCATGAGTGCTCTTGTGAGGCAGACTAACCTTACTGTGTTAGTCAGATATTTGGACTAACCTTACTATACCAGTCAGATATTTCGATAAACTTCCCAAAATTCTAAATTCCCAAAAAGAAAATGCAGCAGGACTCAAATAAAATATTCAAAGACTAGATTTTAAGACTAGGAAAATGTCATGGCATGTCCACATTACATTGGACCAGAGTTTGTACCTGGTAGGGATTGTACCCTGGGACTCTGGAATGGAGGCAGGAGGGTTTGAGGCTCCAGCCTTAATTCAGTGGCTGCCCAAAGGCCAGGGAAGGCATAAGCTGGTTGTTAGCAGCAACACCTCCCCCTTGAAGCAGCACCATTTCCCACAGGGTGAAAGGGTGACACTGACAAAGGGACTCCTGCTCCTGCTCCTCTGCATGCTCCCCCTGATGTATTCCAGCACCCCCCTTTACTGAAAACCGGGGCTCATGCCCTGGCAGTCACCACTCGCCCCCTTAGTTATGCTATTGCATTGGACAATGCTAGGGACCCACCCTGATATACCCTGTCCATTTGTTCCAGCTCCGCCTGCCAAAAATATGTCACTGCTTTTTTTGACACGCAGGCAGAGAGCTCCCTGTAATGCTCTCAAGCCTGGGCAAGAACATCTAGTGGATGCACCCAGCACCACTGTACCAGCAACTACATGGCATTTTTTTGACCTGCAGTATGTATAAAGTAGGAGCACCTGGCAGGTCGTATTTTGACGATGCATTCCCTAGCACTGTCTGACATGAAATAGATATGTCCTCCACTTTAAAAGTTACCTCCAATTCAGTTTTAAAACTGCCTACCTCAGAAGTTTTCCCACATCTCCCACATTTATCCTGTAGATCACTGCTGATAAAAGATCCTCTCCCAAAATAGCCTACCTTCCCACCTTGAGTTTTCCCCTATTCTGGTCTCAAGATGTTTCATCCCACTAATCACCCAGACAGACTTGGGGACCAGCAATTAAACAGTCTCAGATTAATCTGAAAAGAACTGATTCATTTCTTAAAAACATACATTGTAGTCCCCACCCTGTGTTACAATTTAATGAATGTGGCAATGATATAACAGCCAAGACATGCTGGGATCCCACAACTGCAGCCAATAGATTGTACAGTTAATCAACACCTGTGAATGTCAGGCCCTATATTTTAAGAAGCTAAGTCACCTGTGACAGGAATTTCAAAAGTGAGGGTCAGTCTAAATTCAATCTTACTGTAGTTTCTCCTATTGTAAGCCACTCTGACCTTTGTTGGGAAGGGTGGCATATAAATTGAATGAATTAAAAATAAATGAGAAATAAATAAATAAAGGAACACATTTTAGCTCTTAAAACCCCCCACCTTTCAGTTTAATCAAAGTAATTTGAAAATCCTGTCTTGAAAACCTGAGATTAGTTAGTCCTTTAACACATTTCCCATAAAACGGGTCTACACATCATTTGCCTAGCTCCGTTTCAAAGAGCTACTGATTTAATCTCAACATTTAGGTTTTACAGAATTAGTAGAAATGATTATGGAAAACGTTTCTATGATCTGCATTATTTTTCCCTTGGATTTAAAGATTTTTTTATGTGTTTTATTTTATTTACTGTGTTTTATTTTGGGGACTCAAATTCTATAGAACACTGATAGTAAGTTAGGCCCCATCTACACATTACCCTTATGGTGTGATTAACCAGTTAATCTGGGGGGGGGGAAAATGTGAACCCCTGAGCCTGGGAGCTCCCAGATGATGCTGGTCCCCAGCCATGGCAGCACACCATGCACTCCCATGACTGGAGCTCCATCAGCTGACCTGGGCTCCCAGACAGGGGAGTGCCCTAGGGGTCCCTATGGCAAGGAGACCACAGCTGATAACTCACACTGTGGCAGTAAGTGTGATTGTGTAGATCCCGCATTAGACAACATAACCTGCATGTGTAAAGGGGCCCTTAGAATCAGAAAGTGAAACTGTTTAATCTTATTTCATTGTAAAAAAAGAAGAAAAAAAAACAGAAGAGTAATGACTAACATTTTATACAGGGCAAAATAACTTCCTTTTACAAACCACTCATTCATAATCAAAGTAAAGACAAGAAAATGCAACACAGGTAAGGAAACATGTTCAGTCCCTTAAAAGAAACTGCTCTTAAGAGAGGGAGAGGAAAGGTTTATTTCATAATTCCTGTTCTCCGTTTATTTTTTGTTAATTTTCAGTGACAACTTTCAGTAAATTAACAGATACAATTTTCTCCATCATACCTGCAACCTGAGCAGATAATTCTTCCCCACCTTTCTTTTGCAAGGGATTCCCATATCTTCAGAAATGTAAATTATCATAGCTCCACTGAGGTCGACTGTGCTACTCCACTGAAGTCAGTGGAGCCCTGCTGTTTTAAACAGGCTGAGTACTTGACCCAATATCTTAAAAGGGTATAGATAAATCATAAATCTTATTTTTAAAAGCCAGAGAGTTAAGAAAGCCAAGCCAACTACAGGAATAAATATCTTAGAATTCAGATAAATATTAAATTCCCACTTTGGAAGAGATAGATATTGTCTCCTAATTACTGAGAGGTGATCTTGCCAAAAGTTACCCCAGTTCTCTAGCCATCTCTGTTTAAATATTCAGCACCAGACTGTATACTTGCTTAATAGCCTGAAGAATTACTAATAAATGTTCAGCTTTCTAACCATCCTCTTCATGCACCCTCTCATTTCATTATTCAACAATTTAATATCATACTTTATTAATCTTTGTTGAATGTTAATAGCTGTTAATTATTCCTTTACTAGGACACACATGCCTTGCCAGCATGAAATTAAATTTCTCACATATCAAAAGGTGTCTCATTAGACAGACCCTCAGCTGATAAAAATCACTGGAGCTCCATGGAAGGCAACAGAACTATAACAATTTACTAGGCAAATGGCCTTTATTATGGCCTCAGGTCTCACCTCTCGAGAGTGCCTCAAGTAGTCACAGATTTGTACCGTGTGCCTTCCAGTTTCTTTATTTTTCATTTTCTGGTGCATACAATTAAGGCGGTCCAAACCTAGTCGAGAAAGCAATGATAGAAAAGACATATTTCTAAATCTAAAGAGAAAAAATGGTTGCTTTGGAATAAGCAGTTGTGAAACAATACATTAACATAGTAGCTGCATAACAGGATATAAAAACAATAATGTAATATTGCCAAACTATAATAGATGATTCTCACTCTCTGTTAACCAACAGGTTTCACTGTAGCGCAGGATATCACATACTACATATAGTCTGTAGAGCATCCCTGCTTGATGGAACTTTTCCTGGTGGTTTGCAGATAGAAGCCTAAGAACTATGTAATGGCAGAGCTGGGAGAAAAGGTGATCTATGCAAGGCTATCAAAGGGACTGGTTTGTGAAATGGATGAGAATGACCAACAAGCAGCAATTCTACACTGATGGCACAGTGGTATCTATTCTTTAAAGGAATTCTTTAAAAGAATTATCAATAGGGGCTAGATTGTGTGGGAACAATTAGATGCTGGGCATAGAAAAGAACTGTGGTTTACAGAAGTAATTATCTTTCTTTCCCCCTGCTTATTTCAGAGGGACAATAATCTACATTACAACCCCTCAACTATGCTGGAGAGCACGATGGTCAAGGTGGAACCAAGGTTTCGCCTACTCCATGGCCTTCTCTGTCTACTCTTTATAATGGGGGAAGCAGTAGGCATGTAATGCATTTTTTAATCTGTTCATATAATTTCCTTGATGTAGCAATTGTTGATGACATTTGGGGCTCGTTGACTATTACTGGGGAAGTCGAGAGTTCTGGACTTCATTGACGAAGTGTTACATACTTAACTGATTGAAATTAGATATGGTTAGCCAGTTCTTGCTGTTCTTTTCTTCGTCACCCAAGAAACTACTCTCTGTTGGTTCTGAACTGACTTGAATACTCTGGGGACAGTCATCCACTTTAATCACCTGCCATGGCCAAAAGAAAATAGTATTCAGTATAACAAGACCAGTAGTTCCATACCTGACTTGACAACTATATCACGGCATGCTCCTTCCAAGCATTTCAAGAGAAATATCAGTAACTATTATTATTTGCACAAGGTCCCTAAATGCTTTACAAACACAACCTGGAGTAAGCTTTATAAACCACTCATCATGAAGATTCAGTTATACTAAGCTTGTCTATTCAACTTCTCTCCTTGGGAATCTTAAACAAGCCTAGCCTCTCTGAACTTATTTCAGAAAAATGATCCACAAATCATAAAGGTTGTTTGCCAACTAGCCAAAAGAAGACACTCGGGCCAATGCAGGGACTAAAAAGATGAGAAGCTGGGAGGGAATCCTATCGGTCTGAGAACTGCATATGTTTAAGGGTTTTAATATGTAAAACTTTGTAGCAGAGAAAAAAGAAGGGAGAAAACAGAAGTAGAGGATTTCCATGAGTTCCCCCTTTTTACAAATCACACCACTGTTCCAGTTTTATTGCCATTAGCTGCCTCCTAATGATCTACCAGGTGTAAACCAGATGGCTCCCAGGATATTTGAGTACTGCATATTTACATTCGTATAAAAACGAATGTAAATATGCAGTACTCTGATGAATGTAAATATGCAGTACTCTGACTAGCCAGTTCTTAAGCTAGCTCATATTTTAGAGCATCCTACTATTTTTCAGGTAACTGGGGTAATACTCTACTAGTTGGTAAACTGAGGCATAGAATACCAATCACATCTGCATAGCTAGGAAACATCAGGATTTGAGGACAGAACCCAATTTTTTTTGTTTGTTTCCTAGATCCCAGCTCTAAGCACTTAAAGGAATTGACTCCCAGATATAATATTTGAAAAAATATTTCCCTGAGTTTGTTGCAGATTGAATTGCACCAATATAGAAAATATTATATAACAGGCCAAATTGTATTTAAAATTGAAAGGTCTCCCACCACACATGGTCTAAAAATATAACTGTCCTTGTGCTGTACACTCAGGGGACTCAGGACCTCAGTGTTCTAGTCTCAGCTTTACTGATGATTCATTGTGTGTTTTAAGGCAGTTTATCCCTCCCTACCTCAACTTAATCATCAATGCCATAGGCTCATACTGACACCCTTGTAAATTATATTGCTGGCTTACATACAATCTACATAGGACTGGGAGGATTCAGGGAAGAAGACATTGGATTCTTGTAGATGGGACTTAACGGATCCGTATGGCTTGTCTCTGCAGTGGGATCTTGATTGTCAGTAATTGGCGGCATGTCTGGAGATTCTGCTGTTAAGGTCCCTCCTCCCAGAAGCTAGCTTCATGTTGCCCAGAAATTGAAAGCAGACCTTATTATACAAAACTGATCTTGGGCTTAATCCTGTGCCCAGCAATGTCAATGATTGCACGCCCATTAACCAGCATGAGTTCAAGATTGAATGCTAAATGCTAAATAGAACGTAATAAAACAATTAATTTTGGATTATTTGTTTAGGGATGTATCAATCTGATGGTTTACAATAGCACTTTTAAATGGCTAACATACAAGTTGAGTATAAACATTAATTTTACTGTCCTTAGCCAACTAAAATGATACAGAACATAGAATTTTCCTTCTATGTACACCCACCGGCACCTGAAAGGGTTTTGGTTTCTTCTTTTCTCTCAGAGATTTCCTGTCTCTGTTTTGTTGCTTGGCTTTTGTACCTACAAAAGTGCTGCAAGGCTCAGAAGAATGTGACTGCTCTGTGTTTAAAGGTAGAGAAAGTTAAATGATTATACTACACAGATTTGATTGCAAAAACAATTCCAAACACAATTAGAACTAAGAATAGTCTCTAGTAGTCTGCACACTCCCAAAACAGCAGAAATCAACTCTCAAGATCCAGAACAAAATATCTGCAGAAAGTTCTGTGAAAAAAATATTTGTCGCTAGATTTGATCATTGAAACATAAGGTTTATACTGAATAATTTGAATGGGATATTATTTCATATTTTACAACTTTGTGTGTTGTTGTTTTAAAGGAAACTCAGACATTAAACTCTCAGGGATTGTAATTAATAAAAGGTTCTCTTTGTTCTGCAGCTCCTATACAATGATGGATCTCATCATCTAATGATATCCTCAGGTGTAGGAAGATATCACTAGCACAGATCCAACAGAGCCTCTGAACTGTGGCTGTAAGGATTTTGTCAGCAGAAACGAGGCATGTCTGAAGTGTTATTCATACCATCCCCATGAAAAGCCTAGCTATCAGCATATTTCATAGAAGCCTCAAAGCTGGGATCAGGTCTAGCACAGATCTCGCATCTGTGTGAAGGTGCAAAACCAGTTTCTTTACCCTATCCTTAAGTGCACCCAATACATTTGGGGCATAACTGAACATCTCAGCCATACTGTTTATAAAGAACTAGGAGGTCTCTAATAAGAGGCGATATTGTGGTATAACATTATTATTGCCTTTGGTTTTGCAGGTCTTCTCCACTTTCTGTTCCTTGCGGGACTGAAAACTGCTGCTCTTGTAGAAACTCCAGTCTCTCCTGAGTGGGTTGATCCAGAAGGAGGTACTGCGCCGGAGCTGAGACACTGGGGTGTCACTGCTATACCCTGATTTGTCTGAATTGTAGGAGAAGGACTTAGATTCTTTTATCTGGACATGTTGGGGCTGATTACTAGTGCAGTTGCAGTCACTGTTATAGGTGGAATGCATACAGGATTGCTGTTTTTTCTCATGGATGAAAACCCCTTTTTCATCCCCTTCCGAAAAGCCCCAGTTTATATAACCAACCCTATCTTCCTTCGTATAGGTGCACAAGGGCAGTAAGGTGTCACTGGCAATGGGAGACGGCTCCAGGCTCATAGAGTGATCCACTACAATCCCATTATCCTCCTCCGCTGATACCTGAATAATGGAGTCCCACTGTTTCGTCTGGTAACGTTCTAGTTTTTGTTCAGTGAGCTTGGCATCCTGTGAGTTTTTCATCAGCACATTGTTACAGTGCTGCTTGGTTACCAATTTCTGTTCCTTGTACTTGGCAGGAGTACATGGGAGAGACAAATTCAAATGGACTTCTTCAGAAGCAATAGGTCCCTGCTGACCACTAGGGACCAAGAGAAATTGTCCACATCTAGGGGCTGATTTCATCTCAGAGGATACACCAGAAGTCAGAGTGTCACTCTCCATTTCTTGCTTTTGCTGGCTGCCTCCTTTCTTTGCTTCCTCAAAGTCTTCACTTTGAAAGATATGGCTACAGCGCTCTGATGGCCACTGGCTCCTTGCCAAGCTCCTCAGAAGGGAAGGTGGCATGCTATAGTAGTTGTACTTCTTATCACTTAAACATTCCAAGCTGCTCAAAGTCTTCGAATATATAGCATTACTCCAGCTATGCGGAAGCTTTCTACATGTTTGGTACTTTGGGTGAGACAGCAGGGCCTTCTCCACCTGCAAGGTATCTACAGCAGAAATGACTTTCAAGGTATCAACAGTCAAGGCAGAAAGGTCTTGCAGATGTCCTAACTGGCTGTCCAGGGAAAATAAAGATTCCTTGATGTAAAAGACCTTCTCATGAACTTCCTTTAGCTGTAAAAACATCCCCTCCACCCTAGGGGGAAAAAAAGAAAACAAACATGGATATTAAATTATTGAAACAGAGATCTTTGTATTGCATGATTCCTATTATCCAATGAAGGAATAAAAACATTAAAACAGAGAAAGTGAAAATCCTTCGCATTGTAAAATTAAGAATTTGCTTGTATTTTTTCCACAGTGATTTCATCTTCCTAAACACCTACGTATAATAATAAATCACCTAACTGGGCCTAAAGTGATAAACACTTACATGATTTTTATACTCAGGTATGAGCTATTCTAATAATGAATACATTCTTATCATTCACCCTGCCCTAGTGATGGTGGATAACAAGATAAGTCAAAAGGGTATTCCTTATAAGCTCTTTTCTCTCTCTCGCTCTTTCCATCTCTCCCATAGGAAAAAATGCTCAAAACATGCTCAAGGACTTCCATTTACCCAGTGTTTACACATGCTTACCCAGTGTTTACACATGCTTAACCTGGTATTCTGTTCCTCTAAACAATGGCCAATGGATACTTCTTATTTGATTAGATGCATTTTAACTTGGAACACAGAACAAGAAATAGGTATTTGTTGGATCTATATTTTTAGAAGGTCAGTTTTCTACTAAATTAAATCTCTCTGGTATAATAGATATTTATTGTTTGGACAAATGTATCTTTTTATCAGACATTTATTTGCTAGACTTATTCATTTTATTGTGCGTGTTTTGGTCTGATATATGGAAAATGAAGTCCAAGAAAGGTAATGATTTAGATGAGCTACCTTTCACTGGGTAAAACAAAAGTCTACGCAAGGATGGCATTTTGAGTAGGATGTTCAAAAAAGTTGAGAGCTTTGCCACTGACTTCAACAGAAAACTTTCAACACAGTGATTGAAAATGGCATCCATAGCACCTTTGGCACACAGCAGTCTCAGAGAGAAGGTATAACAATGTACAACAGTGGTGATTCCATAATGGCCTCCATAATGCAAATCACAGGTATAATTAACCTAAGGGCACTATGAAAATAATGTTTAACACTGAAAACTGCTAAACCTTTAAATAAAACCATGCTGTTTGTGCTCCACCTGGGGGCATGGTGCCCAGGCAACCTCTTGGTGACACATGGTCTGCAAAGTTAAAATAGATCAGTGCCCAGGCTACGCCCTTAATGGCTCATGTACTGCACATGGCTAGGAGTGCAGTTCTGCTAACTGCATTTGCTAGTCATACTTTGTACATGGATTTAAAAAAAGACATTGCAGCTGTAACTGAGGGAAAGGGACTGCATGTGTCGTTCCCTTTTCCCCTGCACACATATGTTGGAGCAAACATCATTTATCCCCAAGGTATTAGCTAATTAGCAGTCTTTTTATGCACTATATGTCCCAACTTAGGTGGATTTCAGTAGCAGCAGTACACGCAAACCTTTCTGTTGTCAAACGGATCCTTTCACTGTCACTAGAATTCAGGTTTTCATTCTTCTCGTGAAAATATTTCTCCACACACTGCTCCTCAAAATCATGAAGTTTCTTTAACTCTTCATCACTCAGATATAGTTCTAAATAAATGAGAAAAAAATCACTGGTATCAAACTTTGTATTTCTTTGCAAAAAAAGAAAAAAGGGAATAAACTGGGAAAATGCATTTCCTATTCTTTCCTGAGTTGAAAAGAGTGAATCAGGTTTGAAACTGTGAATTTATGTTTATACATACAAACTGGGGGTGTGTGAATATACCCAGTATGTATTTAATATCTTTCATCTTTTTTCAGGGCAGGGGGGCAGCCAATACCTCATAGTATTTTAACTCATTTTTTAAACTGTTTTGAAATGCAGAGCCAAAGGACTACTCATTCAGATATACCTTTTTTCTTGCAAACTATACTATAGGCCCATGGCAGATGTTACAGTTAAGGGGTGATTAATGTTTCAGTTGCACCATAAAAGGTAACAGCATATATGTGCAGCCAATTTATCATTCTATAAAGTGGCAAACCAGCCACAAAGATATTCCACAAAACCTCTTGATCTTTGTAGTTCCTTTGGATGGTGCCACATATTGAAAGTGTAGCATGCTCAGTTCCAATATGAACAATGGGATGGGAGTCAGCATCAGTGAACATGCAAGGTTCCCAGGGACAATTGGTGGGGAGAGCAGAGTTGAGGGGCTCCTCCCACTGGGAATTTATCAACTCCCATGCCCAGCAGCCTTTCCTGCTTTGCTCCACAGCCCCTGGGAGCTGCACAGAAAGGCACTTTAAAATGGCCAGCAGTTTGACAAACTTACTCTGTAGCTTCCAAGGAGCTGCAGCACAAGGCACTTTACATACCCCAGCCATGGGAACACCAGTATCATGGAGCCTCTCCCCAGTTCCCAGGATTCCTGTACATGAGGGATTGCTAAAAATGGTGGTGGTTTTCAGACATCCACCAGAACCTAAGAATAGGGAGAGGCTCTCTGATTCTGGAGTCCCAGCAGGGAAGTCCATGGATTTATCGCTGCCAGGTGGGCAGAGTCAATCAACTCCCTCCTCTCCCACCCCACCTCCCCATCTGAAACTCTTGCCCCTGGCTCCCTGCTGGCATTGGTATGATTGGGATCTGATCCCTGATCCTAGCAATAATGCCTTCTACTGTGTAAGCATGGCACAGCAGTAGGCACAACTGTGGGGATCAGAGATCAGATGACATTGCACCTTTAAATGAATATCTGCCAGCCTTTGCAGATATGCCTAATAGTCAATGGCTTCCACTATAAAAATTATTTATGACACTCTTTTTACTTCCCTAACTTGGCTGAAAATATTCCTAAAGGTAATTCACATAAACTGTAACAACTAGAACTATTTCAGCTATTCAGTTTGAGAAGGAGGCATGGAATTATTTCTACCTAATTGCTTCAGACATTCATAAGCATACAAATGTCAAAGCAAGAAATATTGCAAAACACATTTAAATTTACAACTCTAGACAGAGGTAACAAGCTTATCTTTTTATGTGACTATCCTTATAGAAGATTAATATAATAATTTTGAGAGGATGGATTGATTTTATGTTAGTACTAAGAAACGTAAAGGGTACATCACAATAAATCAGTCTTCAGAGGTCTGATCTTTGTGATACTTCATTGATTCCTGTTCAACAATTTTCAAATTCATTGTTCTTTATTTTTTACCAGCTCCTTTAATGTGGGTTTCAATACTCCAGAAATATATTTCTCCATTTCTCATGATTCTCAGACTACAGCAGGAGTATCATCTTGCCCATGGGCTCCACAAGGGGCCCTGAATTCAGGGCCAGGGGTGAATGAAGGTGGGGCCAGCCACCAAATTCCACCATTCAGTACCCCAATAGGGAAATGTGTCACTGAACAAGGGGTGAGCAATGGCTGCATTAACCCCCACAGCTCCCTGACACCATTCTTTGCTAACAGGTGGGTCTGCTTCCAGCTCACAAGGCTCTCTGTGGTCCAGATCCTGGCCCAGGGGGCTGAGGGAGTTTGCCACTCCTGGATTAGAAGATTATATGATCCCTATTCTTGAATCACTTTGGCAAAATCTTTCTTTAAAAGTAGAGAGCAATTGCCTTTAGCAACTATTGTAAAACAGACAGCATTTGATTATCATGCATTATTGTCATACCATAGTTCCCTCTTACTTCCTTGCACTGAATCATTGTAATACAGCAGTGCTCAACCTTCTGGCCCTACAGGCCAGAGGGTGGCACAGGGCCAGTCCACGAACCAAATTAGATCCTGTGTCCCTCACCCAGCCCCATGCACTGGGATCAGGCCCGGGGGTCTCACACCACCCCTGCACACTGCCCTGCACATCCAGTCTAACCCACAGGGCCACACTATCCAGCCTGCGGTGCTGTCCACAGGTCTCCACTCCT